CTGGGGCTGCCAGAGCAAAGCGGGAGGGTCTGTCCTTGCGCCTCCTGGCCGACCCGGGCTCCCTGCTGGGAAGAATGGATTCCAGAGGGGCCTTTTCCAGCTGCCGATTCCAGACATTCCACAGATGTTTCTACCTCCCTTTGTCTGATTTGGCTCTGGAATTTCACTACTGCTGAGTTTTTTCTCCAGGAGGAATGCATGGGGTATATTTCAGGAATTACTTGAATCTTTCACACAGGAGTGAGGATTTAATGGGCACAGCAGGTGTGAGAATGACCCTCTTAATCCTCATTTGTTTTTTTCTTTTTTGTTTACTTTTTAGCGTTCCTTTTATCCTGTTACCGCTGCCCTTTTCTCCTTCCCTGTCTCTTTGCCCAGCCATACTGTTGGAGGTGGGTGGCCAGGAAACAGGTTGATGAACTGGTTTTGCCTCTCTGAGAAGGAGGCAGACCTAAACCTCTGTTTTCCTGCCCATACAGATTCTTGTTTTGCTGGAGAATGACTCATGCAGTCTTTGATTCTGGAATGATGGTTTTCTCACTTTCTTGGAATTACCTGTAGATTCCTGAATGAAGAGATTTTCCTATGCTTGCAGCAGGTTGGAAATTTTATAATCCAGTAAACAGAAAAGTTACATTATGAGGATTAACAGATACTTGCAGCAAGTGTCCCAGCTACCATAAAGGAGAAATGTAAATGTAGGAACTTGCGTGTTGGGGCTCTCAGGGTGAAGATGTGTTCAGTCCCATCTGTGGCAGGAGCCATGATGCAGGCTTCGAAGAAATGCTCCCTATTGTCGCGGATTGACTCAAAGGAAAGCTCCACAGTAATGGACTGTAAGGAGACCAAAACACTTTGAAATATGTAACCAGACAGTGTTTTTTCCTCCTTAATGTAGTCTTACCACGCTGCTTTTTTTCCTTCTTTGGCTTTTTTCTCGCTCCTTTATTGACAGAAATAAATCTCCCATCTTTCTCCCAAGGATGAATGTTCCAAAACATTGTCTTTGTGGGATACTGAATCCCAGGCTTCCAAAAAAAAATTTTTTTTTGTATTTCTGGTTGGGATCCAGTAGGACCTTCATAGGCTGACTGCAAATACAGACCCACAAGTTTAAGTGAATTTAGGTACATTCTGACATTAGCGTATCAAAGAAGTTGAGAATGATTCCTGTTTCAGGAAGCCTGTTTTATGGCAGAAAAGTTACTTGATAATGTTTTGTTAATTAAGGTGAAAGAGGAGCTCTGTAAATAAAAGGCTTTTTAAATTCACTGGCTCATAACAGGATTGGTTCTTAAAATCATATTAAGCAGATATCGGATGTTCTCTGCCCTAGATTGGGTAATCTCATAGTTTCCAATGGTTAGAGAATGTTTTAACCACTCAAGCATGAGGTTTAGATTTTTTTTTTTTTTTCCAAAAGAGTGTATTGTTGTCCACACAATCTTTTGCCGTTTTGACCATGCTAACATTTTTTGCTCGGTCTTTGGCTGGCAGATGAGAAAGCTAAATCTGAACACACTGTTCTTGGCAATGATTTTTCTTTCCGCTCCTGCAGTCAGCGGTATCATGATTTTCATGTTAATTTTTATTTCCTTGTTAAGGCACTGAATTTTACTATAATTGTCTCCCAGTTACCTGTTTTGTTGGGTCTTTCTTTGTGTCCCTAGTATTATATAATTTGCATCAACAGGTGCAGATTTTGTCATGTTCCTGCTAATTAGTCCTGTTTTGTGCAAAATCATCACAGCAAAAAGCAAGGAAATACACAGCTAAAGAGAGTGTTAACCAGCTGAGGAGCTTTCCAACTGGCTTTACTGCACATAAGATTTGGCAGTGTCATCTCTGGTGACGAGCAGCCCCTGCCCACTGGGCACCTGTCACTGACATCCCTCTCCCTGGTCTCCATCAACCCCTTTATAGCCACTGTGAAGTCCCCAGAAAGCTGCTTTCTTAAAGCAATATTCCTTTCTCTCAGATTTGAATTTTATAACACAAACCATGACCATTCACAGTCACCTGCTTTATTTTCAGCACTTAACAAAAAAATAAATAATTTCCAAGTGTTACACAGCTTAATTTATCCAGGTTGACAGGTTTAAAAAAGGATAAATCATAAACATTCAAAATTTCTTAGGTGTGCGACGACTCTATTTGTGCAATGCCTACTCTAATACAAATGAATTTATCTTCCAAACCTAGAATTTCTTATTTATACAGTCCCTTAATATTTTTGGGCTTAGGGTGTGAGAAATAAAACAAGGTACTAGAGAGTTGTATACCTACACCAAATAATCTTGGTCTTGTCCTGGAACAAGCTGGCCAGCTTCTTGTTGGACCGTTATCTTCTGAACTTCCTGCCCTTAATAGGAACTTGTGGAAGAGAAAAATCTCCTGGAAGGGTGTTTTGTGCATTCCCTTTCACATAGATACTGATTCTTCCCTGTCTCATGGGCTAATAAGGCCCATCTCTAAAGGCTGCTTCTAACCCAGAGAGTAGCAGAAGTATCCAACATACATTTTTCCTCTGCTTTTCAAAGCCCACAGGAAACCATGATGAGAGATACATTTCCTTCCTTTTTCCTAAGTGACTCTGCTACAAAGAACAGTAGTCCGAGGTCTTGGCTATACACTTTTTTTTTTTTAGGGCTACATTCAGGCTTCATAAAATGAAAAATAAATGGAGCTGTGCTTTCTGGCAGAAAGCAGAAGGGCTATGGCTACTGAAATAAAAGCTGTGTGGGGGACAAGATGAAAGTATACAAATCTCTGGAGTTGCAGTATGCAAGTCTGCCATTCAGCCTAATTTTAAATTGGTTAAAAAATAAATCTTGCTTCTGACTTGCTTCAGCTAATTCTAGAGTTTAATTAAACCTATCCAGTCGGCATGCTTTCTGCACAAGTACTCAGACTGCTTTGGTTTCTTGCTGGATCAGAAATGAAGAACAGTTTTTCCTATTAAGCTTGAAATCTGAGCCATGCTATGTAGGACTTCAAAGTGGGTGTTTTGTCAGGGATGGGTCAGAGAAATGCAGCTGGTTGCTGACGCAAAAAGTTCGGGAATACTAGAACCTGATCTGGTCTGAGGCAGTGCTCTCAATTGGTTACCGTGATATGCAAGTTTTTTTTTTTCCCCCGGCAAGTTTGGTCTTTTATGCAGAGCTGTGAGATCAATTCATTTTGCATCCCCTTCCCTTCTCCCCACCAGAACTCATTTTCACTTTAAACTTTAAAAAAAAAAAAAACAAAAAAAACAACTTGACATCAGTATAAAGAAACAGTGGTGTAGGAATCGAGAAAGAGCACATGCCAAGCTACCTTCAGGTCCTGCTTGAGTGAGGATTTCAAATGACACGTGATTATTTTGCAGTTTGGTTCCATTCTGTGGCCTGTTTCTTGGCAGTACAACTCCAGTTTCATATAATTTAATTTCTGTAATGACTCAATGTTTGCTGAACAGGAATATCCCATACTTCCCACCAAGGTACATGCTTGAGGATATTGTTTCTCTGTACTAAGCAACAAAGGAGGAGGAGAGGAAGGGGAAGGACTGTTAATCTTCAAAATAATATTACAGCTATGATGTTCTTCTCAGAAACATCCTGACTATGATTTCCAACACTTGCAAGCATTTCATGTCTCACCACATAGTACAAACTAACCCAAACTGTTGAAGGATCATTTTTCATCCCTGGAACTGGTGTTCCTTGATACAGCTTTTAGTTTTCCCACTTCCTGGGTAATCACTTGATTGTAGTTCAGTGTTGGTAACAGTTTCAAAATCCTTCATGTCTTTGCTTAATATTTGGCTCAGTGATCCAGTATCCTGCAGACCCACTGCTGCAGCAAGCACGTCTGCCTTCTGGAGATGAAAGGCCATTTTGCACACTTTGAACTGCATAATTTCTTTGCTTGGCACCAGGTGGCTGAAGCAGATGTTGAATGATCGGGGAGGTGGGTTGTTTTTCCAGGATTATCTGCAGCCTCCCCACACTACAGGTTGTTCATTTGCTGGTCCAGTCTTAACCTTGAAGTTTGGTTCACGTTCCTTACTTGCGTGCCTGGTCAGCATCCCCCCTTCACTGCAGCCCTGCTCTTGCTGTGTCCCTAACCACTTTAGTTCATGGAGCTCGGGTGGCTTTGCGGCAGCAGACCTGAGTTCACAGGTGGGAGACAAAGCGGATGCGCTGAGAGTAGGCCAGGTCCACAACGTAGAGCAGCAGGTTCACATAGGTGAAGACGGCAATCACCAGCTGGCTGTCCCAGGGGCACCTGCCCTTGGCGCAGAGCGCGGGGCGCTGCGGGGAGCCATACTTGCTGTCAAAGCAGAACACTGGCCAGATGACCGCCGCGCTCACGTACAGCAGGACGGCCACAAAGGTGTAAACCACCACAGACCGCTCAAAAGGAAACCACAGCGTGGCTGTCTTACCTGTAACGCTGAAGGCGACCACCACCACCGTCATCACAAAGCAAAAGCTGAAGACAGCCACGCACCACTGCGTCGCCACGTACTTGCTGTACTGGCTGTCGTTCACCAGCGCCCCAAAGATGATGCAAGCCACAAAGGCCTGCACAATTTTCAGGAGGCCAGAGACTGTGGCCATGTAGCTGGTGACTTGTCCTGGCTTTGCCCTGGTTAAGAACACCTCCACAGCATATGCAACAAACAGGAGGCCTGCAAAGACGCTGGCTGCTATGCGAAAATCCCTCACCTCACAGCCAATAGGATAACAACTGAGCTGGACAAAATAGAGCGGGTAGATCACCGCCGCCGTGACGGACATGAGCGTGGCCAGCATGGCGAAAGCAGCAGTGAAGTTTCCCCAGGAAATGCGCAGGCAGCTATGCAGGTGCGTGAATTCGCAGGTTATGATAAAGACAGTGATGGCAAAACAGAAGGTCCAGACAAACATGCAGAAAGTGCCATAGGCTGCACTGAATCCCCCTTGGTGGGCTACCAGGCTGAACGTGGTGCATCCAAATGTCATCTGCAGTAAACGAGCTATTCCCACCGGGGATGTCATCACGGCCGTGTTCAGATATGGTCCTCCTGCGCTCTCCATCATCTTTCCAGGCCAGCAGATGATGTGCTTGCAACCCTGAAAACTTCCTTTCAGGCTTCTGCTTCTTTGTCCTGAGTCACACCTGATACCGGATGGGTAGAGCAGCAGCTTTAATCCACGCTCGTCTCTGCCAGTATCACTAGGTGCTGCGTGTGACGCTGAACGTGCGTTTCTGACAGCCTCTCAGCACAGGCTCGCCTGCTGCAGGGAGGTTACTGACGGGCTCTGCCTGCCGGCTGCATTCTCAGGACGCCGTGACCGGCTCGCTCCGCTTGCTGAGGTCTGAAAAATCACCCCTTTCTTTATCCTTTCACTGTCTCCTCTACCATGTGGTGGCTAAAAGGGGCAGTTTCTCCCTGAAGGCTGACATTTATTCCATTTTAGCTCTGCAGCTGTAGCTCTCTGCTCTGGCGTTTGCAGGAACCTAGACATATAAATAGGCATTATATTAATAGTGCTGGAATGGAACGAGTCCTGCCCCCCGCAGCTCCCCAGCACTGGTGTTAGTTACATTGAAAAGGCCAGCTCCATCAGCTCTGGGTTATCATTCTGCTGTTCCTCCACAAACGCTCAGGTCACTTGAGCACCGCTGTTCTCCCTGCGGCCGCGGCATGTTGCAGGGGCTGCTTGCAGAAGTGGGCTCTGACCCGGCCACGCTGCAGAAATGGGAGCTCAGTCCTGCAGAGCCTGTGGCCCCAAGATGCTGCACAAGCCTGGAAGCAGCACAGTCACTTAGGAAGGATTTAGACCAGAGGCCGCAACAGAAGCTGACTCACTCTGCTCCATTTGATCGGGAGCAGTAATATATTTACCTGCTGTGAAAGGCCCTGCTGTGCTTTGGGCATTAGTGAGAGCAGGCCACTGAAGATTTTGAGAAATAGTTCTCACTCCATCTCCTTGCACTCCTCCCTGTCTCTGTTTTGCTTATATAGGAACAAGTGGGTGTCCCTTTGAATGCCAGAAATAAATGCAATTGCCCACAAATAATTGCTTTGATGTTCTTAGCTCTGCTTTGGAATACAGATTTCAATATGTGGGATCAAACCCTTGTTCCTCATTAGATCAAAGCTTTCCCAGATAGTCATTTTTGGTATGCACTTCTCCCAAACTTGGTCTCTACTCAAAAAAAAAATCTCTTAATTTTAACTTTAAAAAAACCTGAATAAAATTTCCACTGTAGTTTCAGAATGGGAAAAATGAAAAACACAACTTAGAAAAAAGTTCCTCACTTACCTCTTTAGTAGTTGCTTTTTTTCCTATTCTTAAAGCAGAACACAAGTATACATTGCCTACTCCCCACCTACAGACCAGCTCTCACTGTGCTGGCCCCAGTATGAGGAACTGGGGCCACCCCAGAAGCTCCACACAGGTGCAGGGAGTCAGTTTGATTGAGAGCCAGCTCTAGCCCAGCCCCGGCCAATAAAAATGTCCTGAATGGTTCAAAATAGCCATCAGCTATGCTGATAAAGCCTGTAACTTCCCAAAGCAGGAGCTACAGGAGTCCCCAGATTTACCATGGGAATTATAATCAATGTTCATGCTTGGTAACAATATTAATTGATTAATATCATTGTTTCTTATTCATATGTTAATGTAGCAACTATGAGACCCAGCCACACACTGTGCTCCAGGGGAGCAGGCTGCTACCCCGAACCCTTACCCTTCCTGACTCTCTGTGGAGTTAATCCTTCTGTTTCAGCAGAAGTCTTCCAAGCTTCACTTACAGTGTGCGTTACTGTCCATAGTGTCCTGTAAAATGGAGAGGCTGTGGTACAAGGCAGACAAAGGTGCTGTTGGACTCTTAACCAGCCTCTCTGGGGACACTGGTGTGCTGTCCCTGTGCAGTCTCAGCATGACATCAGTGATGCTCTGTTGCACCTAAACACAGCGGAACTCACACTCATCGTTTTTCTTCTTTAAGCCCCAGCAGAAGCTCCTCTATACTCCCCACACTGTCCCATATTGTAGCATTCGGCTGCAGCTGTCCCACACTACACTGGCTGTGTAGGGCCAGCAAGAACTATTTATTCAAATCTTTATTATACAATAGTCAGGTGACTGTACTGAACCCCATAGTTACAGGAAAATAACATTTTTCAGTTCTAGCATACTGCATTATTGCTTATGCTGCAGCTTGCTGCATCACCTCCCATCTGACCAGGGGAACTGCCCAGACTCATCATTTGTCTTGGAAAAGGACCAAGGCAGTTGTGAGTGCAGAGCCAGGGGACATCCCAGGCTAAGGCACATGTGAGGAGAGCTGCTTGCTGGGCCCGGGTGCCACAGGCTGGTGACTGTGAGCCCCATTGGGTGCCTGTGCACTGTGACCACGGTCAGTCACTGACGCCTGAGCTCAGACCTGACCTGGTCCACTTCCCATGAGAATTGGTACCATGCAGGGGAGGCCTCAGCTCCATAAGACAGTGCCAGCAGAGGGCAATGGTCCTGCTACGAGTAGCAGACAGGAGCAGTGCACCATGCCTTCTGCGGGACCATTTGGGTTTGAACGTGCAGGCCTCTGCCTCCTGTGCCGCCCCAGGGCCTCTGGATGCTGCCAGCAGTCTGATTTCCCAGCATCACACAAATGCACTTCAAAAGTACTTGAATTTTCTTTTTGCTTTAAACATTTATAAGCAAATATCAGATAGAAGGTCCTGCATTAGAAACCCACAGCTTCTCGTTCCCCACCAGTCAGCTTTTTGCATTGCTGCTTTGAGAGTTTGTCGTACTGGACCGGGAACTGTGCTGCCTGCGCAACTGCAGGTTTGCTCTGAAAAGAGCTCCAGTGCCGCAGACCTCTGCCAGTGAATGACATGGCAGCTTTGCAACTAAAATGCTTGCTAAGAGGCACGCATAGCTGTATGTTAGACCAGTGGCTCCTAAGTGGTAAGTCAGTGAGACATTGGTCGGCACAGAGAAGTCCATAGCCACTCAACTGTCTGGATTTTTAGCCTGCGCTGCCATGCAGAAGGCGCTGCAAGGGCCAGTGCTGGGCCCGGGCTCAATTCGCTGCTCCTCAGCTGCAGCGGGCACTGCAGAACTGAGGCAGCAGCAGCGGTGGTGCCCCAGTGCTATATCCCTCTTGCATCATTTCCGTAGCAATGGTGCTGCCTCTCCATCGCGGGCCCAAGGAACGGGGCACCTTTCCCCCCAGCGGCTGTGCTGTGTCTCACCTCCCTCCAGTGCAGCGCTTCTCCTTGCAGCTGCCCTGTTCTGGGGGGACTGGCAGGTGTCATTATCTGTGCTCCTCGCCGTGCCACAGCTGGGCTCGATGCACATTGCCAGCTGGGATCTGCTGTCCTCCTCCATGAGAGATAAAGAGTGGGTCGCTGCTCATCCAGATAAGAGTTAGTTTCTCTACCTAATGGGCTCCTGTGTGCTAGCAGTAATTTCTGCAGTGAATGGAGGTATGGACTCTACCCTCCAGCTCACGCCTGAAACTGCTGATATGCCACATGCTGGCATCTGGAACTATGGTCACGTAGTGCAGATACATACATTCCACTATCAACTTTTGACTTCTTAGTTACATTTTAATTTGGACCCAATCACATTATGTTTTTAGAAACAATTTTTCAATGATGGCAGTCTATGAGGGAAAGCCTAAGTACACCCATACAGTGCTCAGTACTTTCAGTCTTACCCTTTTTGCCATTGGTTTCCACATAGCAAACATCACAGCAGATGAACTTAGAAGTGCCAGATTTACAAAGGCTTGGGAAATTTGTATTTATTGCACAAGTACAAAAAGAAATACAGAACTGGAAATTACCTCCTGGGCTACAGATTCCAGGCCGCAGATTCCAGTTTCCAGCTACCACATTATATAATCTAATAAATTTATCAAGGCCCCCCCTTAAAAACATCTCTGAGACAGCCTTGCTCCCTATTATACCTTTTGAAAGACTGTTGCAGAGCCACACTAAGCTAAAAGCGTGATTCCTGATTTCCAGGAAAGTTCTTTCCCCTGTTTGCAAGGAAAATAGGATGTCTCATATCCTCTCTCAACATTCTTCACCTGTTCTAAGATGAATTAACCTTTTAGAAATACAAGCAGCCACCTCTGCATGTAGTGCTCCAGACTTCTACAGTGGCATCTATACTTCCCTGTAGAAATGCATCACTGGACACAGAGCGGGGCACCTGCCACATCTACAGACGCATGGCACTGCGTATAGTCATTCTGTGAACAACTGCTATGGACAGTAGTTTCCCTTGATGCTCCCCACTGATAAACTCTTAGTGAATAGCAGGAGTTCTGGCTACTATTCAAGTACCAGCACTTTGTACTGATTGACTCCAGCCCTCAAAGGAATCCAATTTTCCTGTATGCTTTTCCAAACTTTCTCAGTACTGAGGAAGCCTCTCAACTTTGTGGCATGAAAAAATCAATTAGAACAGTCTTACTTTTATACCAAAGTCATTACAATAGGAAGAATATTAGTGGTCCCTAGATTAATCAGAGGGAAACTCTTGCATCTCAGTTCTGCTGGCAGCACTAATCATTTTCTCTTTAGCTACATTTTGTCTTAAATAGGTACTAAACCTCTCCTTGCACAGCTGAAATACTAATTTCCTATGTGGTACTGCCTAAGTGATTGCTGAAGTCCATCAAAAGTAACTGTACGGTAGGGGTTTTGTTTGTTTTTGGTTTTATTCATTTATGACAAGGGATCTTACAAATAGCGTTACCATTTTAACCTGGTTAAGACCTCTCTTGGAAGTACGTGTTCAAAAATTAGGCCATGATTCAAATTTCAGGTCCTGATTTTCAGTTGCCTATGTGTTGCACAGCCATTTACACAAGTGCAGGTAAACACAAAGTAGGTGTTAAGAATTACTGCTGCTTGTACAGGTGACTACTCCGGCTGCAGTGCATTACTGTGTAAATCTTTTAGCGCAACTGTCTTTGTACTTTCTCACCCAAAGCAATGATCTCACTCTCTTTCAAGCCTCAGCCACCAGTTCCCGATTCCTCCCTCCTCCCGTTCTCCTCTCAGTAAAAACAAAGGGGATTCGGTATGTTCACTGAGGGGGGTGTGTTCACAAATGATTACAAGATTAGAAATATGTTGGTTCTTGTCTCATGTTCTTTACTTCTTATGTTCCAAATGTTTCCTGTTTTAAGACTGGCCAGACAGTCTGATCAAACCAAACATTTACCTCATTAGAATAATGGCCTTTGCTGTAAAAATAGATGCCTTTCTGTATC